GATGACATACAAGCTTTCTATGGTGATATTTCTGGCTATTTCTTTCTCTCCCCTTCCAGTGTCTATTTTATGCAAGGGAAACCAAGATTCAAAAGACAGCCAAGCATCTTAACATTATTTCCCCCCTTTTCCCCATTCCAACCATGTCTCAATTCCCTGTATCCAAGAGCCCTGTTGTGCCAAGGTTGTGCATACATCATTATTTGCCTCTGTCCCACTTAGCCCATGCAAACCTGCCTAACTGTTGATTCATCTGTCTTGTTCTTCCATTCCCCTCCCCCTTCTGCCCCCTTCCCCAGCACTTACACTATTCTGTGTCTATTTCCTGCCCTGTGAGCTAGTTGGTTTTTGGAAAGCATTTATATCAGATCAGTTGTTCTCATAACTAAGCATGAATTAAATGGTAGCTGGTATGCAAGGAATTGTTGGAACAGAGGTGGGGATGTATCTTCCATCCCTTATCTCTTGTACTCCAGAGGAACTGAGAAGGCCCCTCGGATTCCTTCCATTCCAGCTGGCCCCAGCTGTCAGGCTTTGACCTTTCCTGCCATCCTCCATGTTCCACCTGATGCTATGGGCCAGACAGGCAGCTTGGTCACTTCTTTGGGGGCAGATTTGTTGTGGACTCGAAGTCAGCCAAGAACCCTGGGGCCATCAGTTCTACATTCAACAAATCATACACTTCATTTCATTGGTTGAAATCCCCTCCACTTATCAGTTAACCCATTTCTTCCCTGTGATTTTTGCCTCCATCCCACCCTTCTTCCCAACCTTTCTAATTTTTCTTTAGGTAAATGCTGCTCTTTTGATGTTGAATTGTTGGCCATTCCATGTGAACATACCTTACTAATGTTGCTGTCTCCCCTCTTTATACCTATCTACTACTTAGCTGAAAATGGAGCCACAAGAGTGAGTTCAGTTCCAGACCCAAAGTGGGACTGAGGAATGTAGTCTTGAGTTCCTCCTGGCAGATGTGGTAGGGTATAATGATTAAAACAAACAAACACAAGAAAACTCCCATCAAGTTGATCTAACTCATAGTGACCCTATATAGAATTTCCAAGACTGTAAATCTTTATGGAAGCAGACAGTTTCATCTTTCTCCTGCAGAGCAGCTGGTACACTTGAATCCCCTTTTGTTACCTTTTGGTTAGCAGCCCTGTGCCTAACCAACAGCACTACTACTATCTAATTCCAGGATACTTCTTGACCCCCAAAGAAACCTCGTGCTCATTAGCAGTCATTACCATTCCCTGGAAATTACCAATCTACTTTCTGACTCCATATATTTGCCTTTTCTGGATATTTCTTATAAATGGAATCATACACTGTGTATCTTGGGTCTGACTTCTTTCACAGTTTTTAAGACCCATCCATATTTTATCATCTTATCATACTTCATTTCTTTTTTATGATTAAATAATTCTCTTTTATATGGATACCCATTTGTTTATCCATTGGACATTTGGATTGTTCTGGCTACTTTGAACAATGCTGCTATGAATATTTGTGTACAAGTTTTTATGTGGACATCTATTCTCAGTTCTCTTGGGAGCATACTTAGGATTGAAACTGTTGTATAATATGATGACTCTCTGTTGAAATTTTTGAGGAACTACCAAACTGTATTGGACAGCCATTTTACATTCCTATCGACAGTATAACAGAGTTCTAGTTTTTGTATATCCTTGCCAACACTTGTTACTATCTATTGTTTTCACGTAGTCAGTCTCATTGGAGTTTTGGTTTGCAGTTCCTTGTTTTTATTAGTTATCATTGAATACATTCCAATTCTTGGTGACCCCATGAGTTGCTACAGAATAGAACTGCTCAGCAGGATTTTCATGACCATAATCTAATGGAAGCAGATAGACAGACTTATCTTGCATGGTACTGCTGAGTGGGTTCGAACCACTGACCTTTAGGTTAATAATCTGCTTCAAACCATTGACATTGAGCATCTTTCCCTATGCTTATTGGCCATTTGTATGTCAGCTTTGAAGAAATGTCTACTCAAGTTCTTGGCCCATTTAAAAAACTGGGTTACTTGATTTTAAAAAATTAAAAATTTTTTTTGTTATTGTTATTGAGAATATATACTGCAAAGCATACACCAATTCAACAGTTTCACATGAACAATTTAGTGACACTGATAACATTTTTCAAGTTGTATAATTATTCTCACTCTCCTTTTCTGAGTTGTCCCTACCCATAAACATAAAAGTACTGTCCCCTAACTTTCCTTTCTAATCATTCAAGTTGCTGTGGTCACTTTGATCCCATATAGATAGTTCTTAAAGGAGCATAAAGCTCAAGACTTGTAAAGGTAAACTATATTGGTTGGTATAAAAACAATACAGTATACATGGCTCTCAGGGAAGACTGCATAGTCTATCAGCGCTGAGGTGACCTCCCATACAAAGGCCCAGAAGCCTCCCCAGGGCTGGCACACAATTGAACAGAATTTCTACAGCTCCACCTTTCCTTTCCCAGTGACAAGCACAGACTATGACACCGCGGCCGATGCCACAGAGACCTCATCCTACGCCAGTGCCCAAGGCTACTTATCCAGGTAGGAGTCAAGCAGAGGCTGGGCAGTGCCTAGAGGACTGATGGCCCCAGATCCCCTGGCATGAGGGTGGTATTCAGACTGACAGAATCCCGAGACTCCTGCCTCCCTGTTCATCCATTCAGCACCCTCTCCTTCCCTGGAGCCCCTAGCTGCTCCACTTTATAGCTGCACCTTTTCTGTTCTGGCAGCCGGGAACAAGAGGGCATGGAATCAACTGCAGAGGAGGGACAACTGCCCCAGGTGGTGGAGGAGCTAAGAGACCTCCAGGTGGCCCCAGGCACACGCCTAGCCAAGTTCCACCTCAAGGTGAAAGGTGAGAAGAGAGGGAGTAAGGGATACCATGGGTGGGTGGAGGCTCTCTTCTGGAGTGGCCTTGTTCAGCCAGTCACAGTCAGGAGCCAATCCACCCATGCAGGCCTTAGCTGGCCCCAAAGCACTTTCTGCTCTTTAGATGCTGTTCTGCACTCTCCCCCACACTCCCACCCCAGGAAACTGGCACTTGTCATGGGTGACATGGGGTCTCTGAGAGATCCCATCACAGTTACCTCCCTTCCTCCTCCTATCTGGAAACTACAATGCTCCCACCTGGAGAAGGCCAGGCCCACTGCCCACTGAATGGGTAGTCCTGTGTTACCATGATCTCTCTGTGGTGCTAGGTTATCCGACACCTCGTCTATACTGGTTCAAAGATGGGCAGCCCCTGGTCACGTCCACCCACATCCGCACAACTGATAAGAAGACATTGCACACTCTGGAGATCCTCTCTGTCACCAATGAGGACGCTGGCCAGTACTCGGCCTACATCAGCAATGCTGTGGGGGCAGCTTACTCATCTGCTCGACTCCTGGTGCGAGGTAGGTGCCAGAGGTATGGTGCAGAGAAGACTGCAGGTCCCAGACAGTGCCAAAACTAGGAGACATATCCATTTGCCTCACAGACCTGGAGGCCTGGACTCCGCAGTCACCCTTCCTGCACACTCTGTAGAGGGCAGGAGCCCAGGGCACATTCACAGTTGGTCTCTCTTCCTGACCATTAGCTCAGGGCAGGTTTCATGGCGATTCCTAGAACTGTAGGAAGGAAGGAACTGGCGATCACTTTGGTGATCGAAGGCTGCACTTCCTGAACACTGAATTCCAAATTTGTGGTAAACAGACTTGTGCCCAAACCTGACCTGGCCTGGTGCACCCAATGCCTTTCTTGGCTTTTGCTTGCAATGCTTGATGCAGTCCCGATGCTTTGCTGCAAGAGCAGTGGGCACTGGTTAGAGAGTGTGGCCCTGCCTCAACCGAAGGGTGAAAGGGGTCATGGGTAACATCTACACGCATGTGAATTCCACAACTCTCCTGGCAGAGGTCTCTGGTATGGGCTTGTGGACCTATACCCATGATGGGTGGAGCTTCCCTTGAGATCCCACCCACCACAGAGCTGGACCTCTGCAGAGCACCCTCATGGTCCTCAGTGCATGTGTTCATGCTGGGGGCCTAACTTCTGTGTCTCTTGCAGGCCTGGATGAACCAGAAGAGAAGCCAGCACCAGGTAAGACAGCCCCAGATGGGCAGAGAGGGCAGCCAGGTGCACCCTGGATCTGCACTAGAGCTGGAGCAGACATCTCCTTGAGCCTGGGGTCCAGGAAGGACCAGAGCATGGAGTGCTGCAGGGACTTGGTTAGCTACAAAGGGTGTGGAAAGATTGTCCAGGGCCAGCTGGAAGGAAGAAGAATTGAGTATGGACTAGAGTTGAGAATTAAGTTAGGACTTCCCAGAGGTGGTGTAGGAGACCTGGGCCCTGGGGCCCGGGACTGTGCCAGGCAGGTGTAATGAGACTGTGCAGTAAAATGCTGTGGGGAATCAGGGCTCTTGGACAAGTCTGCCATTACCAGCCTTGATTTCCCATCCAGAGGTGCAAGAGCAGCTGGTGCCTCCCCGAATATTAGAGAAATTCACCCCCAAAAAGGTGAAGAAGGGATCCAGCATCACTTTCTCAGTAAAAGTTGAAGGTAAGGCCCCCAATAACAGTCTCTGCCCTGCCCAAAGATCCCTTTCCTGGGGGTAATTCACTCACTTCCTGTCTGGACACCCTGCAGGTCACCCAGCCCCAGTTGTGCACTGGCTGCGGGAAGAGGCCACACAAGGTGTGCTGTGGATTGGGCCTGACACGCCAGGCTGCACAGTGGCCAGCTCTGGGCAGCAGCACAGCCTGATCCTGCTGGACGTGGGTCGACAGCACCAGGGCACCTACACCTGCATCGCCTCTAATGCCGCGGGCCAGGCACTATGCTCTGCTGGCTTGCACATCTCAGGCCGTGAGTGGGACTGGGTTGTGGGGAAGGGAGCAGGTGGGCAAGCCCATTCCCCTCCCTGGAGCTTTCCAAAGTGGGCTTGCCTAAATCAAAGGAGACCTTAAAAACAGGTCAGAACCCCCTGCCTGGGGCATAGTGCCTACCTGGGGGTCCACACAGTCTCCACTTGAGCACTCTTGTCACCCTGCAAGTCCCTTTTCCAAGTGCTCTTGGTCCCCTCTGTGTACTGGTGAGTCAGGGAAGGTATCGGCTCTTTCTCTCCACTGTCTGCATGAAGTGAACCTGGAACACAGCTTAGGGGAGCAGGACAGACCCCATCTCAGGCCTCTGGGAGACCCTGGAAAGCACAGAACCCCTTCAGGGCTCCAAGCTGAGTCCGAGCTTGGTGAAGCCTGGGACAGAATTATTTTGATGTGCTTCCTGGGTCACTTCTCTCGACAGTGCCCAAGGAGACCAGGGCAGCAGAGGAGCAAGGGGGTGCGAAGGAGGCTCTCATCTCTACCTTTTTGCAAGGGTGAGTTGAACCTGCCATAGCCAGACAGGGGTTGAGGCCAGGGAGACAGGTACCCTGCAGGTGGGGTGGGGGTGGGGTGCTGCCCTAGGAACCCTCCCTATAGGCCAGGTGGCTTGGGGCAGCCTATCTCTATCCATTCCTGTTTCCCCATCACAAAATGAAGCTTCTTCCAAGGCCCTTGCTGTGTAAAAGCCCTTGGCTATGCTCTTCTGGACTGTCACCCTCAGACCCTCTTTCTGTCAGAGCTCCTGCCTATGGGCAGCGGTCAGGGCCACTCACAACACTGCTGCTCTACTGCTGCCCCTTAGGACTCAAGCCGTCTCTATGCAGCTGTCAGAGTCTGTGGGATTTACCGACCTGGCAGGGCAGAGGAAAGGTATGAGCTGGTGGGTGTACGTCTGGCGACGTGGGCCTGCCTTGGAGGAGGTTGGTGATCCCGGGTCTGGGAGCTGTGAGGACGCCCCAAACTAGCTGACCCTGATCAACACACATGCCCAGCAGATATTGCTTTGTGAATCTGTGGGTGAGGGTTGGAGACGGCAGGGAGGCTGGGTTGGCCTTTTACCTGGTGGGATGGGACTGAGCAGGGTTGGGTGCAGCAAGGGGACGGGAGAGGGGTCACTCTATCTCCTAATCTCTCCACAGCTGCTTCTAAGCATCTTGGGATGTTTTCCAACTTTATTTTTGATGGAAAATGCTAATTATTCACCATAGAGAGGAGGGTGTGATGCCCCCCTTGTGTCCATCATCCTCCCCTTCCCTATTTTCCACCCCATCCAGGACCAGTCTGAGGCCCATCCCAGGCCCCTCTCAATTCACCCTCAGCAAAGAGTCTTCACCCTGCCGCAGCTGAATCCATGCTCTCCCACTGCACCTGTCTCAGCTGACAGCAGTCTGTCCTTGTAGCTGCTCAGTCTAAAGTGGGGGCATCCTCCTTGGCTTCACAGCCCTCAGCCCTTCCCAAAGCCTTCAAGTCTTCCTGTCTATCTTTCAGAATGTGTCCTGGACCTTCCCATCTCCTGCCTTCTTGCTGAGACCCTGTACCTGCTTTGGCCTCTCACCTAATCCCACCTGCAGCCTGTACAACTTCCCCTTCCCTGGGTTCTGGCTCTCACCAAGCTTTGTCCTCACCCCTCACTGTCCACCTGCCTAGATACCGTGTCCCCAGTATTTGTGGGCCTTCCTCACAGCCACCTTCAGTCAGTATAGCCCATGTGTGCTTCTCCTGCCCTGCCTCCTTGTCGCCTCTGTCCATGAGCAGCTCTTTGCCAACATTGCTCCCTTATGGGGGTATACCACTCTGAGAAGGGGCCAGGTGCAGGAAGCTCAGTCCACATTGTTCACTGGTGCACGCCTAACTGAACAGAGCATTTGTGCCCCCCAGGAGAGCTGTCTGCAGCTGAGGAGGTCCACAGCCATGTCTCCCTCGCCGACGTCGGCACTGAGGAGTTCCTCCAGAAGCTTACCTCCCAGATCACAGAGATGGTATCAGCCAAAATCACCCAGGGTAGGCAGACTGGTACAGTGCTGGTGCCCAGCATCCATGTCCTGAGGGTCCTGAGAGTCGGGTGGTCATGATGGTGAGCCTGAGGGGCTCCCTCACCCTCCTGTCCTTGGAACCTCCACTGGGGGTGAGGTGTATGTGTACGGGAGCTGTCCCAGCAGGATCCCAGACCCTTCCCAGAGTGCAAAGTATTCTTGTACCCATCCAGCCCGGCTGCAGGTGCCTGGAGGTGACAGCGATGAGGAGTCCAAGACACCATCCCCATCACCCCGGCATGGCCGCTCTCGGCCCTCCTCCAGTATTCAGGAGTCCTCCTCAGAGTCAGAGGATGGAGACACCCGCGGAGAGGTTGGAGACCCTCAGCCCTGCAGGATTGGGTCCAGTCAGGGTGGAGGGAGGGCTGACCCTGCTGAGGAGAAGGTGTAGAACCACCAGAGGCAGCAGGAAGTAGGGTCAATCCTAGAGGAGCAGGCTGTGGATCTTGGATGGATGCTGACATTATGAAAAATGTGTCTGGGCATCTCAGCATTTAGAGGTGGGTCAAATCGATGACACACAAGAGGACACAATATAATCCATGACCTGTAAAATGCTGCAAGGTTGATAAATCCTCCAAAACAGGAAACAGAGTTAGAAGGCTGTATGGATCCATTGTGAACTTCAGCTCTGCTGAGATCTAACCTGCACACAGCAGGATGTGCTCTTCCTAGGTGCAGCTCAGTGAGTTCGGACATTCACACACCTGTACACCCAGATCACACTCAGATAGCCCAGGGGCTTCCTCACCCCTTTGTAGTCACCCTCTTCTCCTGCCCCCTGCAGCCCCTGAGATGATTCCCATCAATAGAGGTCAGTTGTACCTGTGTTAGAATGAATGCAGAAATGGAATTACACAGCATGGCTTCTCTCTCTTTGTATGACACTAACCTACAAGTTTAAGAAAAAGAGAAAGAAAGGAAGGAAAGAAACAAAAGGGTTGGGGGAATAGCGCCTTTTCGAGTGTTCTAGGAAAGCACAAAATGACAGGGCACCAGAGCCCCTCTCAGCAGAGCTGTGGGACAGCAGGCACTGGGTCTGATCCAGAATGGCAGTAACTGCAGGGACCTGTCTCTTTGTAAAATCCATTTGGTAATTCATTCACTCATTCATTCAAAGAATGCATCTGGTGCCTACTGTTCACTGGTGCCTACTGTCAGGTGTAGGAATGGTTGTATGTGTGTGGTGGAGATGGTGGAGCTGGTGGTGATGGTGGTGGTGGGAACACACAATGAACAAGAACCAAGAATAGGCATGGGTCTGGGACATGGGTCACCGACATTTGTTTGTTGTTCTACAAGGAGGAGGAACTAGCAGTTATAGAGGATGATCTCTGGACCCTCTGAGGACCCCAGATTGTTGGGGTCTTGGGAGAGCTGACCAGCACTTCTGTGGTTTCCCCTGATTCACTCCACCAGATCTTTGACATCTATGTGGTCACAGCTGACTACCTCCCCCTGGGGGCAGAGCAGGATGCCATCACACTGAGAGAGGGCCAGTACGTGGAGGTCTTAGACTCGGCTCACCCACTGCGATGGCTTGTGCGCACCAAACCCACCAAGTCTAGCCCCTCTCGGCAGGGCTGGGTGTCACCTGCCTACCTGGACAGGAGGCTTAAGGTGCCTGGGGACCAGAGTGGGGGTGGGAAAGGGGCCCCGGAGAACCCACTTAAGGGATGGGAAGACTGATACCCACATTGAGGTGCCCAGGCAGGCCACCCTACGACCCAGTCCTGTTTCTCATCAGCTCTCACCTGAGTGGGGAGCCGCTGAGGCACCTGAGTTCCCTGGGGAGGCCATGTCCGAAGATGAATACAAGATGAAGCTGAGGTAAGGAGAACACCAGGCAGGCAGCAGCTGTCCCCTTGCTCACAGCATCACCTGCCGTTTGCCCTCATACAGAACTCGAACTCTGGCTTTGGAGGGATTGGAGCTTCTGACCATAGTGTTTTCTGAGAGCCCTTGTCCCAGACTTCACAGTGGCAGGGGAAGCCTTGCCAGGGAGGGAGGCATGTTGTGTATCCCATCATGTATCATGTGATCTTTCTCCACAATCTTGCCTCTTTCTGAAAGTCCAAAGGAACTTCAAAAAGTCTGTGGAAAATTCTGTTATCTTTTCATTCTATTTTTCCATGAACTTTTTGGGAATCCCTTTGTAGGTAGCAGGCTATAATAAGAAGCTGAAGATAGTCATGAATACCTGTACACGTCTGCACACACACACACACACACGCACACATGTGCATACCAGGCCCCCATTTGGTAGTTGAAGAAACAGCCTATAGAGGGAACAAACTTTGCCTACAACCACACAGCCCGAGCTCAGGGGGCAGGTTCCCCATGGCCTCCCTCTCGCTCCCCCAGTTCTGTCATTCAGGACCTGCTGAGCTCGGAGCAGACTTTTGTTGGCAGTATGCAGTTTCTGCAGAGCCACCACATGCAGCACCTGGACCGCTGTCCCCACGCGCCTGCCGCCGTGACCAGCCAGAAGTCAGTCATCTTCCGCAATGTGCAGGACATCAGTCACTTCCACAGCAGGTGGGCCCGTGGCCTGGGCCTTGTAGATGTGAGGGTGGGTAGTTAGAGCAGGAACGGAGGAGATGAGAACAACTGAGGTGACATGGCCCACCTGGCAGTACAAATCTCTGTGTACTCTCAGGAACAGGGGCATGTGCAGCTAGCTTCCACACAAGGACACCTGCAGCACACACCTGTATGTCTTTTTACCAGTGCACACACACGTGTAGATGCACTCACACAAGCATGTCAGTCACATATGTTCACATGTGTATGCACATGAATACATCTGCATACACATATATGCACACATGTGCATGCCTGTGAATACACTTACAGGTCAGCATAAATGTGCATACCATCTTTGCATACATATATACTTATATACAAGTACACACATGCATAAATGTGTTTTTCTTCAGAAAGATGCTCACACATACATGTCTACCTGAAATGCATATCTATACATCTAATACACATGCACATCTGCATATATGTGCACACCCAAGACACATGCACACTGCACAATTTGTTCACGCACAGACACACATGCCCACATACGTGTACATAGTTTACATGCACACACATGCTTACATCCATGTGTCACACATGCATGTGCTCACTGATACACATATGCATAGCTGCATACACATGCTCACTCATATACACACTTCCCCACAGCCTGACACACGTCTAAGTAGCTCTCTACTTAGTTCTTGTCAGAGGTAAAGACTCAAAGCTGGGTAGATGGGTGGAGGGGAAGTTGTGAATCTTAATGTCACTCAAGGCCCCTCAAGCTGTGCTGGACCTGGGCCTCACCCTTGACCACTGCCCCCCACCATTCAGATTCCTGCAGGAGCTGCAGAGGTGTGACACAGATGATGACGTGGCCATGGCCTTCATCAAGAACGAGGCAGCCTTTGAGAAATACCTGGAGTTCTTGGTGGGCCGTGTACAGGCTGAATCAGTGGTTGTCAGCACGGCTGTCCAGGAGTTCTACAAGGTGCCCCCTGCTATGAGCCTGGTGGGGTACTAGCCCTGTCTGCTCTACCCTGCTCTCAGGCTTCCCATGCTAGGATTTGGCTTTCATCTGACCCTGAGCGTCCTACAGTGTCCAGGCTAGACCTCCATTGTCTACCTAGCTGGGGTTCATCTTCTCTGACCCTCGGCCCCTACCCAACCCTACCCCAGTCCTTTGGATCCTGGCTTCATGAGGAAGCAATCAGAATCTACCCTGCAGAGATGCACTTCCCTCCTGAGCTGGTTGCTTTATGGCTTCAGCCTCATGTCTCCCACTTGTCTGAGGGTGGCCTGACAGTTGCCCAGTATGGGTGAGGACTGTCAAGTCCCATGAATTGCTTGTCCTGTGGGTGGCTGACTTTTGGGGCCTGGTCCATCAGCTCTCCAGGGCTCTTCCCTGATCTGTCAACCATGTCAGGTTCAAGGAAGCGTTGGGGGGGGAGGGCGGGCGGGGGACAGCATCCTCTGACTCTTGTCTTTGTTCCTCCACTTCTCCCACATCCCCCACCTCGAGCCTCACACGCGGCAAAGATTCCTTCTGTCCTCAGAGCCTGCAGGGCTCCAGGCTGTGTGGGTACATTGGGGTCCTTCCAGTACTATGTTTCCCCCGAGACCTGACCTTTGGTTTTGACAGAAATATGCCGAGGAGTCGCTGTCCGCAGCAGATCCCTCGCAGCCCCCGCCTCCGCCACTACAGCACTACCTGGAGCAGCCCATCAAGCGGATCCAGCAGTACCAGACTCTCCTCAAGGTGTGTGAGGCCCCTCCACTACTCCTCTGCCCTGCCAAACTTCCCTCTGTCCAGGGCTCGGGGCTCATAGACTCTGACCCACCCCTTTGCCCCTCGGCAGGATCTGATCCGCAACAAGGCGAGGAATGGGCAGAACTGTGCCCTGTTGGAACAGGCATATGCAGTGGTGTCGGCCCTGCCCCAGCGCTCTGAGAATAAGCTGCATGTGTCACTCATAGAGAACTACCCAGGCACTCTGGAGGCCTTGGGCGAGCCCATCCGGCAGGTCTGGCTGCACCCTTAAACACCATGTTTGCTTGCAACGCCGCTGGGGGGCTTTGGGCAGCAGAAGGTGGGATGCACATGTTTGGGACCCAGGGTCATGAACCTGGAGAGCAGGACTCCCCTGACCATACCTGACCACATCCTCAGGGTCACTTCATTGTATGGGAAGGGGCACCAGGTGCCAGAATGCCCTGGAAAGGCCACAACCGCCACGTCTTTCTCTTTCGTAATCACCTGGTGATCTGTAAGCCTAAGCGGGACTCTCGGACCGACACCTTCAGCTACATCTTCAGGAACATGATGAAGGTTTGAGGGACTGCTGGGTGGTTGCTGGACTGTTCTTCAGAAAGACAAAGTGGGGCATGGGACGAGAGAGGGCTATGTCCAGTTCATGCAGATTCCTGATGCCAGGCAAGGATAGACTTTTGACATCAGACTGCTGTCCTGGCGGTGACTTTGGGACAGCCCTGGGAGGCTTGGGGCCCTTCTCTGATCTTCTCCAGGGGCAGAGTCCCAGGTCTGGCAGCCTGGAGGGGTCACTGGGCAGCTAGAGCAGGATTGAGGCAGTGAGATTCATTGTGCTGACTTGGCTGTTGGCGAGAACCTCTACACGGACTCACACATTCTTGGGAGAACGGGTACCACCTGCTATGCACTGATTTCCCACCCACTGATGTTTCCCCCACTCCCAAGCTGAGTAGCATTGACCTGAACGACCAGGTGGAGGGTGACGACCGTGCCTTCGAAGTGTGGCATGAGCGAGAGGACTCAGTGCGCAAGTACCTGCTGCAGGCACGGACGGTCATCATCAAGAACTCATGGGTGAAGGAGATCTGTGGCATCCAGCAGCGCCTCGCCCTCCCTGTCTGGCGTGAGTGCCTCCACTGACTGGCTTGGATGCTACCCAGGCCAGCACGTCCCTAAGGCCTTGGGGTGCCTAAACACTTAGCCCTTGCCTCACTACCTGGGTCGGCACAATAGGATGGGCTCTTTCAGTTCCCACCCTCGGTTAGTTCAAAGTAGGCACTATGCTTGCAGTCCCGGACTTCTCTACCTGCAGCAGACATGATGCTCTGAAGTCAGACCAACCTCCATGGTGACCCTCCCCTCAGGCCTCTCATTCTCTTTGCTGGAATGTTTCAGCTAATTTGATGTCAGGTCCCCTCAGGAGAGTGGGGTGACCCCAAGCAGGGTATTAGCTGACTGTGGCCTGAGAAGGGAAAGAGGACAGCTCCCCCCCAACCCCCGGTGGCCTCGGGTCACACACAGTGGAGCCTAGAGACAGGTGTCCTGGCCCTGTGCACAAGAAGGTAGGCCCTGAAATCTGACACAGGAATGGGTGGTCAGCCTCCCCAGGTCTTCCCAGGCTCCGCTCAAGGATACTCACTCATGACCCTGGACTTCCACCCACAGAACTCTAGAGCCTTGCATGTGTCCTCAGGTCCCCCCGATTTTGAAGAGGAGCTGGCAGATTGCACGGCTGAGCTGGGGGAAACAGTCAAGCTGGCCTGCCGTGTGACAGGCACACCCAAACCTGTCGTCAGCTGGTACAAAGGTAGGCTCCGAGTGGGGTGATCCCCACCTCCATGTCGGGGGTTCCCAACCAAGGCTGCTGCCTGCACAGGAGACAGACCAGGCCAGGTCTGGGGCTAGGTGCAGGTCTGGCCAGGGTGGGCCTGGATTGTCCACCTGGACTGGGATCGTGAAGGCAGGCCACCTGTTCCACTCTCCCACCAGCCTGGTGAAATGGAGCACAGATGGATGTGGTTGTATAGAGGCAAGCAAGTGCTCAGGCATACATGGGTGTTTAAATGCAGTGACCCCACCAAGAGACTCCTCTTTATTAATTCACTCTGTAATGACTGTTTATTGGGTGCCCAGGCACTGTTGTAGGTGCTAGGGAATAACAGGGAACAAGACAATGCCAGCTGGGGAGGCAGGAAACAGAATAGTAAAGCATATAACATAAAGTCAGCTACTGATGTATCTATGAAGAGACATCAAACAGGGCACAGGGCAAAGTGACAAGGTGACCAGGGCAGGGCAGGCTTTTCTGAGGTGGCCGTGTCAGAAGAGTCAGCTACAAAAGGCCTGAGCAGAGCACAGATGGAGGCGCTGAGGCAGGTAGAGCTCCAGGCATTGGGGACTGAACCGTGGGGAATGAAGGTGGTGATGATGCTGGGCCTTCAGGGTGCTAAAAAATAAAGTGTAAAGAAATTAAATCACATAGGGTTTATTCAAGCAATTAATTTGTATGCATTCAAGGGAAACCCTGTTTGGAGAATTGGAGGATTCTACCTTAGATCAGTTACAGAGAATTTAAAAGAGAAAGGAGTAACAACAGAGTAGAACTGTTGTCTAACCTTAACCCAGAGCCCTGGTGTGGTGCTGTGGGGTGAACACTGAATCCCAAGATTGGTTTGAATCTCAAGGTCGGAGGTTCAAACTCAATAGCCACTCCTTGGAAACCGTATACAGGTTGCTATGAGTCAGAACCGACTTGACAGAACTTAACAACAACAGACTTAACACGGAGTCCTAGTGTGACTCTGTAGGATAAGCATTGAACTGATAACCACAAGGTTGGTGGTTCAAACCCACCAACTGGTCCTCAAAAACTATATACATGGTTGCAATCAGTCGGAACCAACTCAATGGCACTTAACAACAACAGCCTTCACACAATTCAATCATGGTTTCTTTCTTTCCTGAGGTTGCCAGGTGGACTTTGTGACCTGTCAAGAATACTTTAATATTGACTCAAGAAACTCCAAAAGATTAGAATTGTCTTTTCAGGAAACATAGGCAAAGACTAGTTTACTCTTTGGTGAAATTAAATTCTTTGCAAAAGTGACATGGATGTATAGTAATCAGAGTTGCCTTATTCCAGAAGGGATTTGCAAATGTATGGTCATCATGTCTGCACCCTGTCCCCTGTTAGCAATCTGGGTGCATTCCTCATTGGTCTGTGGTCTTTGGGAACTTCTTATGCACTCAGAGGAGCCCATCAGTTTGGGGCCTCAGTTTCTCTTTTTATTAACAGTCCAATCTCTGCTCATACTCACCAAACATCTGCTAGTAGAGATCTTCATCAAAGTAGTCTGATGTCTGAGTCTCTTATTCTCCTCTTGATCAAAAGACAATGTTGATTCCAACTCATCGTGACCCTGTGTAGGATTTCCAAGGCTGTAATTCCTTATAGGAGCAAAAGCCTCATCTTTCTGCTGCAGAGCAACCAGTGGGTTTGAACTGGTTTGAACTACCAACCTTGTCATTATAGTCTACTGCTTACCCTACAGTGCCACCAGGGCTTCTGAAAAGTGCCTTGTTATACCTGATTTTACGAGTCTTGCTAAAAATTATGATGTTCTAATCAAAGCTTGTTTATATAACTAAGGTTTCCAGTTATATACAATTGAAGTACTGAATTTAAGCAAATAATTACATTGCCATCAAAATAAGAATATTCATTAAGAGTTTTCCAGTTCCAGATGGATCAGATGGGGAGAAAAAAATGCTTTTTCAGTTTTGTTCCCAACAGCATAATCTACTAAATGATTATGAATTATATTTCTTGTGTAGCACTGTAGGATCAGCACTAGACTTTGAACCACAAAGTCAGCGGTTCAAACCCATCAGCTACTCCTTGGAAATCTTATACAAAGTCAGAATTGACTCAATGGCACTTAACAACAACATAAATGGTTTAAGAAAAAGAAAGAGATTCTTTGTATCTGATAAATTCTCATCTGCTCTTTCACTTTTATGGAGCTCTGGTAGCGTAGTGGTTGCGAGTTGGGCTGCTAACCTCAAGGTCAGCAGTTCAAAACTACCAGCTGTTCTGCGGGAGAAAGATGTGGCTTTCTGTACCTATAAAGATTTACAACCTTGGAAACCCCATGCAGGGTCACTATGAGCCACCGACTCCATGGCACACCACTACTTTCACTTTTATAACTTATTAATAGAGTCCAGTGGACTAATAGAAAAGAGAACATTAAATATCAACAGTACTCTAGACAAAACCCATAGCATTCTTCCAGTCCATTCGCTTGTATGTGATTCATTTCTATTCCACTGGACCTTTGGTTTGCAGTCTCACAAATCCATGTTTCTCCACAAGAGTTCTGAAAATTTTGATTCAGTCTAGTTATTTAAGCAGTATCATCAGGAGCCTATGCAGAAAACATCTGGTATTGTCTTTTTCATGGATCTCTGAGATCATCTCTTTTTGTTGAAATATGAGGGAAGTTCAAAAAGTTTGTGGAAAAATGGAATTAAATGATAATGGAATTTTTCCATACACTTTTTGAAGCCCCCTCATACGATGGCATCTGGCTGATTGCAAGCACTTTTAGGGTATCATCAAAGTGAAAACAACAACAAAATAAACTTCAAATTGCCATGGTGAACTTATTCTTAATAATTTTCTAAAAGTTTTTATTGTAAATGGAGTGAAGAACAAATATCACTTTTACTTTCAACACATCACACACTTCATTTCATGTTTATGGTTACTATCCCCTCAATGTAATGTCACGTATCCCACTTCCTTCCTATGATTCTTAATTCCTTTCTTCCTAAATTCTTCTGAATTTTGTCCTTGGGTAAATGCTGCCCTTTTGATCTCAAATGGTTGGCCATGCTTTGGTTTTCATACCTCATTAGTGTTGTCTTCCCTTATACCCAGCTACTACTTGGCTGAAAATGGAGCCATGAGGGTAAGTTCTATGCTCGACCGGAAGGATGACCAAGGGCCATACCATCAGGGTTTCGCCAGTCACTTTCTAACCAATAAGCCTGGTCTTTTTTTTTTTTTTTTTTTTTTTTTTGAGTTTTGCTCCATATTTTCTCTCCCTTTGAGAGCAGTCAGTAGTGGTACCTGAGAACCATTTACTGCTAGTCTCAGAGTCCTGGAGACTGATGGCCATGTGTTCATTAGTTCACTGGACTTTATTAATAATTTTTAAACGTGAAAGAACTGATGAGAATTCACTTTTAGAATAATGCATTTGATAAGGAAATTTGGTTGTCTGCAGTATGCAAAGCAGAATAATGTAAATTCTAAAAACTTTAGACACAATATCTGTGAACATAATGAATAAACTGTATTTGCAAAGAAGACTGGATAGTACATCTAATTTGTGCAAGAAAAGAACATAAAATGATGCTGAAACATAGTATAATATACCAAGTAAATAGTGAGGTTACACCATGACCATCAAGTTAAGAGATTTGATTATCTGAAGTTGGTCCTAAACATCTGAATATTAACAAAACTCCATAAGTATGTGATAGGCCCTAGTTGAAAACCATTGGCCTACATGATGCTAGATTCAAATTAAAGAAATAAAGTCGCAACCAAGTTGGCCAATTTTTTAAATAACTGAAATTACTATAGATAATACTACATTTTTGCTGTCTAATATTAGGTAAAACATCACTGAAACACAGCAAGAACACTGACACCCATGCAAATTTTAACCTAAAGGAAATTAGGCACATTCCCTGACCTGGTAGCACTTGTCTTGCTGCTCATGTTGTTAAGTGCTACCGAGGTGGTTCCAACTCATAGAGACCCTATATAGGGTTTCCAAGAAGTGATTGGTAGGTTTGAACAACCGACCTTGTTGTTAGCAGTCTAGCACTTATAATGGTAGTGGTGGTTGTGTTCCATTGAGTTAGTGCAGACTTATACTGACCCTGTATAGGGTTTCCAAGGCTGTAAGTCTTTATGGGAGTGGATTGCATCATCTTTCTTCCTCAGAGAAGCTGGTGGATTCAACCTGCTGACCTTTTAGTTAGAAGTCCAACTTGTAATCCACAATGCTACCAGGGCTTCTTAAGGAGCTCTGATAGTGCAGAGGTTACGAGTCAGGCTGCTAACCCCAAGGTCAGCAGGTCGAAACTACCTGCGGTTCCAGAGGAGAAAGATGAAGCTTTCTGCTCCCAAAAAGATTTACAGTCTCAGAAGCCCTATGCAGGGTCACTATGAGTCTGAACCGACTCCACAGCACATAACCACCACCACCAGAGCTTCTTAGGTTACTCATAGAACATCAAATAAAGTTAACGATGCCTAGCACTTCTTTTCTTCAAATGACAAGGTTTTAGGTATAAATGGTGTTACTTAGGATTAGAGTTGTCATTACTGTTGTTAGTGTCATCAAGTAGGTTCCTACTCATAGTGACCCTGTCTAGGGTTTCCAAGGAGCAGTTGATGGGTTTTGAACCACTGACCTCGTGGTTCAAACCAACCTTGCAGTCCAGTGCATTACCCTGCAGTGCCACACCAGGACTCCAGGATTAGAGGGTGGGCAAAATATCAACAAGTTGTTAGGATTTTTTTTTTTTTTTTTTAACATCTAGTTAAATAAGAACATAGGCCATTGAGACACAATACTTGGATTAGTGGAAATGACAATAAAATGATTTTTTTTTTAAAGTAAATACGAAGGTAATATGATTGTATAAATACTCAGACTTGGTTTTCTTAAACAATCAAAAACCTACTTCTTAATCAGCTTAGGAACTGATTTTAATGAAACAAGGCAT